GTTGACGATATGTGTAATGCTTTGCTGTTAGTGTGTAATGGGCTGACAACAACCAAGTCCGGGTAGTTGCATTGAGGCACGGATCCCCAAACCGCGGGACCACACAATGAAGGGGACTTGTCAAATCTCGCCGCCGCGACTCCCCCCAAACCCGCCTTTTCCGCTCGTTCCTGTGCGGGACGTGGATTGCCTCCCGTTGTCATCCTTCCAGTCTCCCAGGGGCGCGTAGTGTGTAATCACAAACCCCCAGGTTGCTCTGTCCGAGCTACCTACCGCTCGAGCATTGGTCATCACCACAGATCGGGCTCCCCCAGAGTGTGAGAGAAAGAATGCAGGTACTTCAGCCATCGGTGCAGGGGTGTTGGAAGCCCCGGGTTATGACGATAGCGTGACCCGGATGAAATTCCTTGCATCAACACTGGCAAGCCCTCGGCTCTGACGAGGGGGGTGGAGAGGCCTGGGCGCAGCGTGGTGATCTCGTTTGCAGCTTCCTAGCAAGGTTGTTTCAAAGAACGGGAGCGGTGAAGGGCGTGTGGCTTTCCCCCCAAAAAGCCGCATCTTCGAGCAGGGGAAACGTGTCTGCGTGCCAGTATATCCCATGAACCATGAGGCAGGCGGGTCTGGTAGCCCGTCAACAGAGCTGAACTCAGACAAGGAGTGCCGATACTTCCTCAACGGGAGAACAAGGTGCCGGGCAGATAAGAACGAAGCTCGTTCGGGGTGGAAGCCCGAGACACCAATGCCGCAAAGGCCAAGGCATCAGAGTGCCAACAAGCAAGACAGCAGAGGTTGCGCCCCCCACCACCGCCTGGGCAAAGGCCCCGGGAAAAGATGGGCCAAAGTACGCTGGGGGAAGGGGGGCATCAAAATGCGACTTCATCGGCGCCGAGGGGCTGGGTGGGCTGAGGCACCCCCGTCTTGGCGTTTTCGCTTCCAAGCCTTTCCAAGACTTGATCTCTCTGCCTGCCGAAGATGCCGCGCGATCGCTGTCCATGGGTCTTGTGAGGACGCCGTCGTCGTTTGTTGAGCATAGAGAGCCCCAAACTCGTTTTCGAAAGGCTGGCAAACGCATCCTTCAGAGGTGGGTAACAGAAATGATGCGCAGACACGAACCGACGTCGAGATTAGCGACTGTCGATCTCGCCAAAGACGAGATCAACCACATCATTGGTCCCTGGGACAGCTAACCACCCCCTCACCAAGTGATCGACCCCCCTGTCCGATTAGTATGTGGTGTGGTCGCCGTGTTACTTAGCGCCTTTCCCGTCTCGAATCACCGAGGGTTCCAGCATCCTTCTCGGCGACGAGTGAGAGATCGGAACAGCGCTCGCGAGAAGCAAAAGAAAAGGAGTGCGAAGAAGAGCCGAGCCTTGAGCAATCCCACCAAGATACAGAATAGGTTCTAGCCCCGAGGTCATACCAGGGTAGGTGGTCAGAGTTTCTTGCATTGCTGAAGATAGGGGCAGAAAAAGCAACAAGAGGAAGAGCAACCCAGACTACAGGGACTAGGACAGTGGGGTTTGCGAATGCTGCTTGTAGCCCAGGTTGCCTGCGGCAAGCGATCTTCGGCGACTTTGGGAAGGTACGAAGCACTCCGTACCTTTCTCCGCGATCCTCGCATCTGTGCGTCTGAATCGACAACAACTTCCCGCTCTGAGGGTACATCTCCCATGAAAGAGCCAGCATGATTTTTTTTTGGTGACTCGATGGCCAATGGCGAGCTTCAAGGTCACCTCGGAATGCTTCGTTTGATCCGCCGTTTGCCGCGTGCTTCCATCAGAGTCAGTTTGCCCGCTCGTCACATCTCACCAACCTGTCAGTTGTCAGACGGGAAACGAGGGGCAGCCACCTCTGCAGCCACATTCCATGTGGGAATACACAGCAAGGAACAACACTCAGATGGGCAACCGCTCACACATCACATCCCCCGTCTACCCGGGCGCCATCCCGGAGTTCCCAAGGTACCTACCTGCTGTGTGCGTAGCCGCGGGGTAACCTAGCTGCAACAGTCGGATGTTGCATGATCGAGGCTGGCAGGCGGCTGCACGCCCGGGCTCACGAGTGTCTGCAGCGGCATTGCCAGCAGGCAAAGGCATGGTGAAGCTAATCAGCGGCTGCAGGTCTGATGCATTTTGCAATCGTCGTCTCCAACAACCTACGCTGCTTCCGACGGCGTCCTCGCGGCGTTTGACGAGGCCAAAATATCAGATCGAAACCCGCTCACCACACTACCAGGGAGCAACCACAGCCCCCCTGTCCCTGTCGCGCATCTTCAACACAAACCAAACCCCATCAAGCAAGGCGTTTGCGCTCCCCCACTCTAACCCCCCCTGTCTCGCCACGCAATGGAGGGTATTTCTTGTCTGACCCCAACAAAGTCATGGCTGCAAGCCTCTCTCGTGCCGTCGAAGCGTTCCACGATAGAATCACAGCCTAGCACAACCTACGGAACGCCATATCTGCGTTGTGGGAGGGCTCTACTGTGCTACAAAGGACCTCCAATGGGCCAGACGAAGCCTCTCTGGGACGATTCAAGATGTCTCCAACAAGAAATACCTTTTGTGGAAAACTCACTGGGGACATGACGAACGCCAGCACGGCGCTGGTGTCCAATCGAGGCTCTGCACCACTCCCCCAGCTGTGATGCTCAACACGGCCGAGCGGTAGCGGCCCCAGCATCGAAAGATTCCCCCATTTTCACACTCGACCGCCCATCCCCAGGGCGGGGCTCAGCTGCTCAACATCTGACTGACACTGGACTAATCCCTCTCTTGCTCACCCTACCCTGGCTCCCAGCCCGAATCGAAACCAGTAACTCCGCTGATATGCTGGCGGCATGACCTATTTCCCCTTCCCTCTTCTTCCCGTGTTTCTCCGTTTGAGCTCGGTAGGCTGCTAGCCCTTTTATTAGCCTCGTTTCTCTTTCTCGTTGCTCACCGGGACGCCGTCAAGATGACCAGTCCCCTGTCTGGGCTAGCCGGCAACCCACGCACTGTCTTACACCGAGATGGCTTCTTTCGCTGCAATATCCCGTTAGTGTCTGCTTTCGCACCGCGGGAACACACACCGACGATCGCAGACGGCAGCAACCCATGATGGCGTCCCTTCAGGCGCATGGCCTTGATTGCCACTCGTCCCGTACCCGTTCCGGAAACCCATTGTCCTCCCATGACACCAGCCGGGGCCCACGTCTGAGAAGGAGTTTGACGGACGGTGCTATTGCCGCCTCGCTCGGCTTTACTTATATATTCCTCCATCCTCCCTCTCCTTTCGTTCCCCTCTACACCACCATCACACCAGTCAGCTCAAGTCATCCAACGCCTCTCATCCACTTTCAGGGTCTTCCAATATCCTTTTGGGTTTCTTAGCCTTCACCAACATCCTCTTCCTTGCTTGATCCTACCAAAGCGGCACATCACCAAAACCGACGCAACCCACCCCCATACCACCCTTTCTCCTACTACCTACCCCAATTCCGTCACAATGGTACGCCCTTCTCTCTATCCTATTGCTCGAATGGAAGGATTCCGTGCCGCACCCCCTTACGTGATATTTCCGTATCCGTCAGCGGCTGTCACGCAGTGGCGACAGGTCATGTGAGAACCAAGCAACTTGAAGCTAACTACCATCGGTCCGACAGCTCCCCGGTGTCCGCTGCCCCAAGTGCGCCGAGAACGGCCAGGAGGTGTGGGTTATTCAAGGGAGGGCGTGCGGTCACTGCGGCACAGCATGCTACTGATCCCGGACTCGTCGAAATCACTTCTTCGGAATCGCCCAGCCAGCGGCATCTGCTTTCTACCAAAATTATGTTCCAAAAGTTTGGTTGGTTTTGTTTTTGGGGTGGCATCTCTCCCTTGCTCTAGGGAGCAAGGTGAGACGGCGTCGTCAACCTGTTGGGTTTGCTTTTGGGTTTTCCAGTTGGTTGTCAACTTGGTTGTTGGTCTAGATTGGTTGGACGGGTGGGTAATGGCAAGACATGTACGATGGGGACGGACGGCGTTTGCATTGGTTTTCGGCGCACAGATGGTGGGTGGGAAGCTACTTGCATTTCCGGCAATACGACCAGAAATTTTCCATGATCGAGGATGCCTAGACTTGATACCTTTTTGAGAAAGAATGAGAGCTTTTCCGTCCTCCTCTTTCTGGCTTTCACAACATGGCATTGCAGCGCGACCAAAGCTCACGCCTAGAGGCAACAACCCTACAAGTTTTGTGGAATGCGGGGCAGGGGGGACGAAACATGGCGCTCGAAACATTTTGAGGTTGAAGCACACATATATGGTGGCACAAGGTGGCTTCTTCTAGAATACGGAGTGTTGTACAGACATGGAGATGATGCCGACTGCCGATAACGTTGGTTAGGTTAGGTGGGTGAGCGTCACAGTGGGAGGCGGGCCTTATGCCCCCCCCCCCCTGGTGGACGTCATTCCGGCGTTACGCCACCGCAGGGGTTACACGTTGTGGCATTTTGGGCGCGGGCACGAGAATAGATTGGCGAGGATTCGAGATGGGTTGCGGGAGGGAAATCGTCGATTGTGATTGTTGTTGTTACTATTATTATTGTTGTTGTTGTTGTTTCCTGTTAGGATGTCATGGGGATCGGTGGTGCGCAGGTGGTGGAACTGGGGTGTTGGTGGCGCGAGGTTGGTCGGGGGTTGTTGTGCTCACTGTGTTTTGTTACCAGTGGTGGTTTGTTTGGTGGTCTGATGGGAGCTTGCCATGCTTTGCCCAAGGTCGTGTGCTGTGTCCTGTGTTTCTGTGCCTGTGGGAGGTATGTATGCTCGTCCCATGGTGGCGAGTTGGTGATTCCTGGGGTCTGGATCTCGAGTCGGGTTCTGTACCCCAGAGCAGAGTCTAGCGGTGTATCGATCTGCGGGCAGCTAGATATATCGTGCTCGTGGATGGGTGAGGGTTGGTAGCCAGGTATCGCAACACCTTGCCACCTCAACATCGAGGTTGAACGGCAAACGGTGGCAAAAAAGAAGGAACACCCCTATTGTCTCTCCCGCCGGGAATTGAACCCGGGTCTCGAGCGACGATACCTCCAGAGCGGAGATGACAAGCTCACATACTGAGCACTATACTACGGAAGATCTGCGGATGTTCAAGTCATCCGCCGTAGCGTGTGTGTCGGGGTGTCCGGATCTCGGGAACGGGGAATCGAACCCCGGGCTGCTGAGTGAGAGTCAGCGATGCTAGCCACTACACCATACCCGATGCTTTATTTGTTGGAAGAGGGTTTGTGGGTTGGGGGTTATGGAGTTGATTTGTGGGTGTTTGGTGGGGAGAGTGGAGGGGAGGGCTGGCAGGTGGAGTCAGGGGTTGCGTCAAACTTCCCAGCTATTCAGGGGCATCAACAAACAGCTGCTTGTATCTGCATATTGACACGGCAAGGAATTCGTCAAATAACCAAGCTCATATTCTCAAGCGAGCCATATAAAAGCCTGCAAGGGCAAACTTTCGCTAAGCGAAGTCGAGCGAATCAACCAATCTCTTTCAACAAAATCGGGGGAAATCAAAACGAGTGTCTCATATTCAGACTTGCAGACAACAACCTGACAGAGTTGACCCCAATGGGTAACAAACGAGTGAAAACTTTCAAACAGACGCGCAAAATTCAAAGCTCCTTTCCCAAAGCGCTAATGTCCTTGACGGTATCTAGCTCAGCAAGGAAACCCTCGCATTTAGCCTTTGCCATCTTCCAGGCTGTAGCCCCGAGAGGGACGCGCAGCGGAATACGCTCACCGCGACTGGCGATGCCGTAGATGGCTTCCGCAATTGCCGAAGGCTCATTCATTCCCAGGCCAGACTTGATGCCCATATTGACATATTTCTCCAGCTTGCGAGACGGCATGTCGTCGTCCGTATAAGCTGGATGGGGCTTGGTACGAACTTTGCTGTGGTGTTCGAAATTGGTCTTCACACCACTCGGCTCGACAATGCAGATGTTGATGTTCCAGTCAGGGTGGACCTCCCTGGCAACAGACTCAGAAAACCCCTCAACGGCAAACTTGCCTGCGTGGTAGTAGGCATGGCCTGCGAAACCAAGCAAGCCAGCGAGCGACGAGATATTGAAAATCACGCCGCCTCTACCGTTTGCTTGCCGCATAACTTCGATGGCGCGAGTGGTCGTGCGAGCAGTGCCAAAGAACAGGGTTTCAATCTCTTGATGGGTCTCCTCTTCGGTTGCGGACTCTGTGTCACCTGATAGAGAATACCCGGCGTTGTTAATCACAATGTCGAGGTGGAAGTCATTGCCGAAGTGCTGAGCTGCATCCTTGAAGGCATTGTTGACAGACTCGACCGAAGTCACATCAAGAGCTAGCTTGAGAATGTCGGAACTTCCGTCTGGGAGATACGAGAGACTCGAGGGGTCGCGCGCAGTGGCAATCAAACGCTGGCCGGGCTTGCTGGCAACCAATGTCGCAATGGCGCGCCCTATGCCGGAGGAGCACCCGGTGACTTCAACGTCGATATATGGTGAGCATCGCGACTTTCATAAGCAAAACTGGGATAACTCACTCAACCAAGTCGCATCGGGAAGGAGGGTGTAAGGCTTGATGTTGACAAGGTTCATCTTGTGTTGGAGCAATGCTACAGCATATCTTCAAGAGATGTTAGAATGGCGAGCTCACCGCGTTACTCTGTTGCCTTCCATCACTGGCACTTTCAAACAGGCCTAGATATACTCTACCACGGGCATCTCAGGTCTTGGCATTTGACCAATGAGCAGTGAGCCCAACGCCGCACCGTCACTTATCAGAATCACCAAACGGCGTGACTCACGTCGGCAAACTGCGCAAGTTATCTACTCGTCAGGGCTTGCGACTGAGTTTGAGAGCCGATTTAGGTCTGACGAGTATGGTTCATGTCCCTATTTCCGTTGTGCTGAAGGATCGGTGAGCCTTTTTCGGTTTCCGATTGTTGCACGACGAAGTCCGAGACACCACACCACCAATATGAGTGCGCGGTGAGGTGGTGATCAGCATGACGGCCACTGACGAGCTTCATCGAGACAGAGCTTGTCGTTCTCTGCCTGACATGTCTACAAGCTTGCTGTTTCAGCCCAGTAAAAGCATAAGCTGGTTTCGAGTCTCGGACGCATCCATACCATTGTCCCAATTCGATGTCTCGGCAAAAGATCTCGGCTTCTGACAATCTGCAATTGATGGCGACTGGAGGGAAGTGATTGGTCGAGACAGGGGCTCGCAGTTCCTGCTGCATCGAAAGGCGGTCTTTGCGTCTGAAACTGAAAATAACAATTGAATATTGGCGACAGGGTTGCGGTGAATCGGGCATGAGGGGAGGAAGAAGAGCAAAACCTCGTCCGTCTGTGCCAATTCCTCCGTCGGAGTTTCTTCAACCACTACGAGGGAGGAACTTCATCGCGATGAAGTTGGATACCACGGCAAACCACACCACCGCTAAAATCGTCACTCCCTAGTAGTGCAAGGAAGGAGCCGCCAGCCGTGAACCCCGGCCCCACCGGGTCCTCCCCTCCACCTTCCCCCGGCCATGCTACCATCACGCCCTCAAGCTGCAGACCCTCGATTTTTTGGGGACATGGCTGAGGAGCAGAATGGGATTGACATACTGTGCGACGCGGCCGGTTCCGATCTCCTGGGGACCATCCACGCTTTTCCTGGTCCCTCCACCTCGGCGAGCGGGCAGCAAGGTCACCATCCGCTGGTCAAGAGGGCGAGGCGAAGCCCCCCACCTTCCAGCGCCCATGTTTGCCATCTGTGCAAACGCGTCTACGAACGTGCCGACCACCTGACGAGACATCTCCGATCGCACGAAAATGCGAGGCAGTACCAGTGCTCGCGATGTCCCAAGAGGTTCAATCGCGCCGATCTGCTCACGCGCCATGAGGCGACCCATGATAGAGAGAGCGACAGCGGCCGGTCCATGATCCGCAGGACAGACCGCACCGTCGAAGCAGTGGGTCTATCTCCCTTATCTCGACTTCTCAATTGGGGATCGCCAGCTAACACCCACTAGTGTCTTGCCTGTGCAGCGTCGAAGGCCAAATGCGACGACGAGAAGCCTTGTTCTCGGTGTCGGGCCAAGGACATTGCCTGTGAGAGGGTGTCCAAGAAGGGCACGAAGTACCGGACAGTTGGTAATGGCCTCCTCACCCCTAAAGCTGGGCGTACTGTCTTGCTGATGCTTTTGCAGACGGCCCCAGTGTCCCGCCTGTCTTCGACACGGAATCTCATCCTTCCGACACGTCGGAATACACTATCACGTACCCCGGTGATGAGCCTGTTGCCGCTCCGAGCAATGCTCCGAGCACTCTGTTCACAGGTATGGGGGATCATATTCCCCCCGAGGCGCTTCCAACACCCACGAATGACGAGATGCTGTTCTTCAACCCGGGGCAAACACCATTCCTGGAGATGGACTTCGCATCCTGGGACTTTTGGGGAGACCTTGCTGTTCCCCGATTTGGCTCAAGCTCCACGCACTCCTCATCGTCGAGGACGGCTCCTCGTGGACTTGAGGATACAGCCAAACGCCATGCTGCCTTCAAGCAATCACCATGGCTCTGGGAACCCGAGAATTCGAAAAACTACGTTCAGAGGGATCTGGAAGGGCTGCATGTGGACGAGGATCAGACGCTCCCTCGTTCTTCTGCAGCTGCTCAACATCTAACCGTCTGGGCAAGCCATCTGAAGATGACCGCCGCAACCCGCGATCGACTCTTTGCCATCGTCCTCGCCGAGGTCAAAAACCATGCCCGTGTGCCATCGTTCCCCTCTCTTGAGCTACTGGATTATCTTCTGCAGGCAAATTTTATGCATGACGAGTACCACATGTGCGATAGTTGGATACACGCTGCGTCATTCGATCCCCAAGATGCGCTGCCGGAACTCCTCGCCTGCATTATTTCCCACGGTGCCTCCTTCATTGCCGTGCCGGCGATATGGCAATTTGGGCTCGCGGTGCAGGAGATTATCCGACTTCGATTAATACCTCTTGTAAGACCCGTGTTAGACGACCCCTATTCAATGGAGCTATCGTTCTGATGACATCCACCCTGCAGTTTGAAGGTAACAACTCCAATACCCGCCGCCTGGATTGTATCCAAACATACATGCTGTCCTTGGATATCGGTATTTGGAGTGGCTTCAAGCGAAGGACGGAGTTAGCTGAGGGTTTCTTGTTACCAATAACCACGATGCTTCGAAGAGCCGGCATCTTCACAGCGCCCCCGGATTCCGATTCGCATATCCCCCTATCCTCGGACTCGCCCGACGTGCTAGAAACAAAATGGCAGAATTTTATCAAGAGGGAGTCATACAAAAGGTGAGGTACTTCGCAAACAAGGCCCTCGAACAATGCATTCGGGTCGACTAACCATAACTGTTCGCTTTGCAGAGTCGCGCTTCACCTCTTTCTTCATGACACACAAACATCAATCTCATTCCAGAAACCCCCTCTAGTGCCTTTCACCGAACTGAACTTCAGCCCACCAGCATCTCGGGATCTTTGGCGAGCCCCAACAGCCGAAGCATGGCGGGCGTGCTACCTCTCAAAACCCTCAATATCCGTCTCCGGTGACGTTCCACTCCCTAGAGTTTCCGATTTGGTATATTCACTCGCAACCATCGAGAACTTAGCCCACATCATCGACCTCGACCTCTGCCACTTTGTCCTCCTCAACGGTTTCTGGTCAATCATAACCGCCTACCGCGCCAGCGTCAAATTCTACCACCGCACAACCCCAAATTCCACTCGCCCCCTCTGGCTCGACTCTCAAAAACAAGAAATCTACCACGACCTGTCCAACGTCTCATCCCACGTATCATCCTCTCCATCCTCCAACCCCGAACTCGCACTAACCGCCGAGCTCCTCAAAATGACCCTCCACGTCTCCCTCGACACCCTCCAACACTTCGCCGGCAAGTCCGGCGAAGACGCCGCGCGCCGCGCCTCCCTCTACCTCGAAACCGACTGGATGTCCCGCCCTGATGCCCGCTACGCCGCCTGGCACGCCGGCCAGGTCCTCCGCTGCGCGCGACACATGCCCCCCGCCTCCCTTCGGGACTTTAACGCGATGGCTGTGTACTTCTCTGCCCTGACGCTGTGGATCTATTTTCTCCTTTACCGCGGTGAGGCCGACGACACTGAGGGTGGGAAGGGACATCAGCATCAGCATCAGTATCAGCAGCAACAGCAACGGCAGGATATTGTCATTCTCGACGGGGAAGAGA